GAGGCCATGGCAGGAGGGGCCGAACTCCCCCCAGCCCGCGGGATGCTGCTGGCAGCGCACGAAGGGTTAACGGGGGTCGAGGCGGCCGCTGTTACACAAGCGTGGCGTTAAGCGATATTAGAGCCGAAAGTGTGTCAGTAGGGCAGGATTACCGCGCGAGCGGGGCGCGGGGCTGAGCGACGGGCTGCCGCGCCAATGACCGCCGGCGCACTCGAGCCCCCCCGGATGCCGGTTATATAAGCGCCGTGGCCGATGCCAGCAGGCCTGGAGTTAGGCAAGACGTATTTACAGTGGGAGGAGAGCAAATACCGCAGCGGGGACATTTTAATTGCCGGCTGGGCTGGTTTATTTATTTATTTCCAGTCCTTCGGAGGTTCCCCCCCCCCCGGCTTCCCCCCTTTCTTCCCACCCCCACCCCCCACCCTGGCGGGAGGTTTTGGCACCACTTGCTCCATTTGGAAGAAGGGAGAAAAGGGGTTTTGCACCCTCACATGCTCCAAATAAAACGCTTTTTCCAGTGGCTGATGGCACCAGCTGCTGCTCTCTGCCCTGGCACAGGGTCTGCAGTGGGTGCCCCATGGGGAAACTGAGGCACAGGTGATGCTGGCCCAGCTGGGGCCGGGAGGGTCCCTCTGCCGGAGCTCGTCACATTTGTCCCCAGCACTGGGGGGACCCCAGGGCAGGAAGGAGGTACCTGAATGTGCAATGCTTTGGGGCCAAGACGGTGCCCGGGTGCCCTGTTTTGACCTTTCTGCCAAGGTGCTGGCTGGAGCTGGGTACCCGTCTCCAGCGTTTGCTTGCTCTCGGGGCTGCGCTAACAGCGACGGGTCGTGCGCCCGTGATTCAGCAATAAGTCGCAACCAGAGTGGCAATTAAAAGCTGTTCTCGGCTTTAATTGCCCCAAAGCTGGAGTTAAGGCCGTATCTCCACGTCAGTCACTTGGGACTGAGGGCTTATTAGGCTGTCAGATGCTCTTCGTTAGCACATACTTATTACTGGGATGCCATATTCCCAATTAGAGCCTGAAGAGGCTTCTAGTGTGGAAATAATCAGTCATGGGCTTTTTTTGCCTTCTTTTTTTTTCCTCCTGTATGACCCTTTGAAAAGTCAGATGGTACCAGTTAATGCCCAGCTTTAAAAGACGGAGGCTGGGAGTGCATTTCCCTAAATAACCTTAACTCTGCCCAACAGTCTGCTTCTCCAAGGGTATCATCAGCTGGGCACGCGGGCGGGCTCGGTGGCAGGATTTGACGTCTCGTGCTGGGTGCCCTGGGGGAAGCCACCCTGCCAAGCACCCAGGGATGCTTCCTGGGCACTGCGCCCACCCCACTGCCTGCCGGAGGCTTTCCAAAGTGGCCAAAAGGGTTTTTGGGGGCGGACGTGCCGGGGGAAGGCGTGACGGCTGAACGCGGCTGAACTGCATCCTTGGACTCTGGTCGCGGGGGCAGCAGCCGGCTCAGCAGGTGCCTTTTGAACCCACGGTGCCCCAGCTCGGGTGCAAACGGGCTTGAGGGCCACGCTGAGCCGGGCTGTTTTGCTGGCCTGCTGCCGGGCGCATGGTGCGGGTAATTGCTGGGGGAAGGGAGTATCGGCTGCGGGCGGCAGGGCGAGGCGAGATTTGAGGATGCATCACCCCAGCGTTCCCAGCGGCTGCAATTATGTTGCATAACGAGAGCAGGCTCCTGGTGGGGGTG